CACTTAGCATTCCTTAATCCACTAACCATGACAATTGAGCCCACAGCTCGAAAAGCACCTTGTTCAATATATGGGAAAACAATTGTAGAAATAAATCATGAGGTACTAGAAGTAAACCAGACCTCAGGGGAATTTAGAAAAATTCAACCCCGTCCAATCAATTTAAGGGAACTCAAATCCTACAGTATACCTGAAATAAAATCACATTCATTCCATCAATTAATGCTAGTAAATCTCACGGATCTCAAAACGCATACATTCATGAGTAACTTAGTCCGTGCAAGCGAAATTTCTTATCGCATCGAACAAAAAGACATGCATGTAGTGAAAACGCTATCTGATCAGTGGAAAGAGGCAGGAAATAGCCTCGTTACTGAAATTATTGGGGACTATACATGGATTTGGAAGGTTATAATATCAATTTTAATAGCCATATTAACTCTAGATTTAGTGATAAGATGGGGAATTAAAGCAGCAGAAAATTATTTAGGACAAGGACAGTTAGGAAATATGCTATTTGGTCAAAGTCGAAATATAATTAACAGAGCTAGACAGACAAGCATTAACAGAAACACAGAAGAGATTCCAATGGTAAAAGTTAACAAAAATCCTGAGTTTAAAAGAGACAAAACTCCAAGTGTAAGGTCACAAAAACGGAAAATGTCTTGGATCCCAAAGGTTTCTAAATTTCCTCAATCGGTAGAAATTGAAGGTCACACAGTAAATGTCATGAGAGCAAATAAAATGGGTGATAAAAAGTTGTCGGAAGACATGGATGCCGCGGCATCACAAAATTTTTCTATAAATACCCTACAGTCATGTCCCACAATAACTGGGGTGTTTATAAATAACAAAGCAGTAAAGTGTTTAATTGATACAGGTGCGAGCATATCGATTGCTCCCATCTCACTCGCAAGAACTTTAGGACTAAACCTAACACCAGCAACAATTAGTATAACGTCTGCCTCAGGGCATGAAATTAATGTACTAGCTCAAGCTGAAGTATTATTAGAAATGGCGAAAACTAAATTACCTGTAACTATAAGAGTAGTAGAAGATAATCAAATTACAGGAAATAGAACATACCAATTAATTATAGGATGTGACATTCTAAAAAGACTTCCGCCAATAACATTCGATTTTAATAAAGGAAAAATTAATTTTGAAAATAAATTTAATTATTCAGATAAAATTAAGTCAAAGTCAAGAAACATGCGTGTAGCAGCCATTGAAGCTAAAACAATTTTACCAGGAAAACACGGACTTGTTTCAGTGAAAATCAAAACTAATGGTGGAGAAAAGATGGCACTTGTACACTCATTGGACCAAAGGCTTGAGAAGGACCATCTTGCACTCATTGAGGCAGTGGTCACACCAAATGCAAAAGAAAACAAAATTTTGATTGCCAACCCAACAACTGAACCAAAGCACATATGTAAAGGAAAGCACATTGCTCTGGCTGATGAGGTTTGGTCAATTAATGAACTGCCATGGTTAACACAGGTAGAAAACATTAATGTCAATGAATATGTAAACACTGTAGAAGCAAATCCGACATTCAAGGTAGATTTTTCTAAAAGCTCAGTACAAGGGGAAGATAGACAAAAATTAGAAAAATTGTGTGAAGAATTTTCTGATGTATTTAGTAAAACACAATATGATCTAGGGTCATGTATAGCAGGTGAATACGACATTATTACCACAACTGAAGAACCTATAACGTCTAGGCCACATAGAGTTCCATTTAAATACCGAGAAGAACTTCAGAAACACATTGAAGCACTTTTAAAATCTGGAGTAATGGTTAAGTCAGACACTCCATGGGTATCGAATATAGTTTTAGTACAAAAGAAAGATGGAGGACTAAGACCATGCATTGACTTTAGAAAGCTTAACGAGGTAACAGTCCCAGACCACTTTCCTCTACCGCGATTAGAGTCAATAATGGAAAGAATAGGAAACTGCAACTATTATTCTTCACTAGATTTGTCAAGCGGTTACCTACAGATTAGATTAACAGAAAGAGCTTCTAGAAAATGTGGAGTAATAATGGAAGATGAGATATACCAAATGACACACATGCCTTTTGGGCTAAGGAATGCAACAAGCGCATTTGCGAGAGTAATGGCGCATGTAATAAGCGGATTAGATGAGTGTGTTCTAGCATATGTAGATGATTTCCTAGTCTTTACAAAATCTCCAAACTTTGATGAACATTTAAATGCATTAAGGCAGGTCTTTACCAGATTAAGAAAATATTTCCTAAAAATAAGTCCCAAGAAATGTATATTTGCCTCAAGGGAGATGAATTTCTTAGGATACACAATAAATGCCAAAGGGTACACTCCCAGTACTGCTAAAGTTGAAACAATAAATAATTTACCTGCACCCTCCACTGTTAAAGAAGTTAGACAAGCGATAGGCATGGCTTCATTTTTCAGAAAGCATATTCAAAACTTTTCGCTAATAGTTGAACCTCTCACAAAGCTTACTAGAAAAGAAATCGAATTCCATTGGGGTGACGAACAACAACAAGCATTTGATAAAATTAAGAAAATTTTAACCAGTCAACCAGTTCTTGTATTTCCGGATTACGAAAAACCTTTCCATATATTTACTGATGCATCCCTCACTGGACAGGGAGGCGCTCTAATGCAAAAAGATATTGAAAATAATACATATAAAGTTATCGCGTACTGTAGCAGAACTCTAACAATTTCAGAACGCAAATGGGCACCAGTCCAAATCGAATTGGGCGCCATAATATTCTCTCTAAGACAATTCAGACCTTTTATTTATATGGCTGAAATAGAACTGCACACAGATCATAAACCTCTTGCTTACCTACTAAAGAAAGCAGATGCAAGTCCAAATTTAGCACGCTGGCTCATAGAATTGCAAAATTACAATATTAAAATTGTACACATAGCTGGTAAAGAAAATCTACTCGCTGATGCACTTTCGCGATTGCAAAACCAGCCTGAAGAAGAGCAAACTGAACTAGAAGACATTGCAGAATTCCCAGTTTGTTTCACGCTTCCTATAAAAGATGGGCTTATTAATGAACATTATGCTTCAGTTTTAACACTTAGGAAAGAAAATGAAAATTATGCGATAGACATTAAGCAAGAACAAGAAAATGACATGGAAGCTGCAGACTATATTAAATTTATAAAAACCGGGGAACTCCCAGAAGACATATCACCCAATGATCAGGAGAAATTCGTATTAAATGCTGAAAACCTGAGAATTATAGGGGATATACTATGTCACAAACTTCCGAATTTAAAACCAAGAATATTCGTACCATCGTCACTCAGGGCTCTTATTTTTGACTCATTTCACTCCTCACAACTAGGGGGTGGACATATGAATTTGAAAAAGACCCTCAAGAAGTGTAGAAAATATTATTGGCCAAGAATGCACGCTGATATTTTAACCTGGACACGAAATTGCATAACTTGTAAACTTAGACACTCACCCAATCCACCATACAGGGCAGAAATGCAAATGGTACCAGTAAACACATTATTTGCTAAAGTTGGGTTAGATCTTGCAGGACCGTTCCCATTAACACAGAATGGCAATAAACATGTAATGAATATAATTTGCTGGTTCACTAAATACGTTATTTCAGTACCAGTCCCAGACACTAAAGCAATGACTCTAGCAAGAGCATTTCTCAATAATTGTTACTTAAAATATGGTGGCTGTGTAGAACTAGTAACTGACAATGCCACAGCTTTCACAAGCGAATTCTTTAAGGACTTCTGCTCAATGTTATACATTAATAAAAGCTATGCCACACCACACTGGTCTCAAGGAAACTCAGTGACTGAAAGATCCTTTAGAACATTCCATAATATTCTCTCCAAGTACATAAGTAAGGATCAACCAGATTTTGACGAATTTTTAGACTGCGCATGCTTCTGTTATAACACTTCGATACACACGTCGACAGGTGAAACGCCATTCTTTCTCATGTTTGGTCGTGATCCTATCTTTTGCGTAGACCAAATACTAGACCCGTCAGTGTACAGTCCTGTTGCGTTTACAGACATTTCCGAATTTAAGCAAAGACTAATCACTTCACTTAGATGCGCCTGGGAGGCTGCCGATGAAGCAAATAAGCAAGCACAGTTAAGAGCAAAGACTCAATATGACAAATTAGTAAGAAATCCCACAGTCACAGTAGGAGATAGAGTATTACTCAGAAACTATGCAGGGAAAATAGGAACTTCTAAGAAATTTCATATGCCTTGGAAAGGTGTATTTAGAGTAGTAAAAATTGAAGGAGTACATGTCACAATAGTAAGTTGTAACTCACCTCAGGGTACATCCAGAAAAGTGCATATAAATCAACTAAAGAAGTGTTTTGAAGCACTAACACCCGCTTGTACAGTACCTGAATTATCGAGTGATGAAGAAAAAGCTCTGGCAAGAGCTGAAGAAAACGAAGGTATTGAAAATGAAAATATTTCCCAAGAAATCGAAACTCCCGATATACAGGAAAATCAAAACTCAAATACTGAAATAGTAGAAAAGAACACTTACAAGAAATATAATTTACGAGAAAATCCAAAAAAGAAAAAGTTTTCCTTTTAAAAAAAAAACTTATAGGGGTCATACATTCAAAACTCTTATTATATTCATCTAATTTCACTTAATCAATCTCTTAATTTTCATTCTTCTAACAAAATCATTTAAAACTATTTCAATTAATCAATTTTCTTTTTTTACGAGAAAATGTAAGGCGTACTTTGATCCGGATGGGCAAGGATGGAGAAAAGGAACTTTAGTTCCTCTGGGAAAGGATTGAATAAGGGGAGGAGATTGACAGATAAGGCCTTAGGATAAAACTAAGTGGAAAATAGGAGAAAAGGGATCAGTCGACTGTTTACCAGTCAGTTGGAAAGTAATCAATAGAGAAGTGAATAAACCGGCCGAAGAAGCTGAGAGCTTATTCATTAATCCTGCAGAAGAAGCCTAGAGCTTATTAATCAGCGCATATTATCCCGGGCAAGTCGGTCTCGTAACCGACCAGCATTATACAAGCGCATAGAAAGGCCTACCCTCCGCTCCGCAATATACTCATCGGCATCGCCTCTCGGGACCCTTAACATCGCACGCAACCCGCCCAACATCCCAATACCATCCTGGCCCAGCACAAGCTTTACTGGTAGCACCGTCCCACCTCCCCCCGCCACTGGCCATGGCGGTGGGGAGGGAGATCCAGGTGAGGTGCGGAATGGAGGAAGAAAAGCTGCCATTGTGGCATGAGGCCCACGGGCCTACAAAAAATAATAAATGTATATAAAAATATATACACAAAAAAAATTAATTACTTCAACAACAAAAATTCAAAAAAAAATTTTTTTTACTTCATTCTTTTAATTTCAACAACAACAAAAATTCTTCAAAATTCTTTAAAAAAAAAATTTTTTTCTTTTATTAAAAAGTCAACAATGGAAAAATTTTTTTTTATTATTATACTAATTCTTCTACAATCAAAAAAAAAGAAATACTTTTCTTCAACAATTTTTTCAATAATCGGAAAAACAATTTTTTTCTTCCTCTTCAAAATTTCTTTAAAATTTTTTTTACTTTCTTTAAAAACACTTTCAAAAAAAAAATATATATTTTTTTTTATATTCTTTTCCAATCTTTAAAGTATCAATTAGTCAGAAGACATTACCCTAGACACAAAAAAAAACCAAAGAAAAATGAGTTTTAGCTGAGTCATTGTCCATTCCAATAAAAAGATTTAAAAAAAGGTTGCGAACAACAATTTTTTTTACACATAAAAGTGGGGAAAAGAGTAACGACTGAAAATTAAAAAAATAAATAAATAAAATCCTTTTTGTCTGTGTCATAAGATAGAAAGGAACGACTTTTATTCTTTTCCTTTTTTTTCAAATAAAACATTTTTTATTTATTCCGTCTGTCTTCCAAAATACTTTCCACAAAATATATATATAGTTTTACACAAATATTTTTAAATATACATATAAATTAAAGTTGCAAATACCGGTTTTATTTAGGGAGAATTTTTTTTTGAATAAAATCGCTTATTTTCAATGTTGTTTTCGGGCTTCAAAATTTTCTAAGAACGGTTAATTTTCAAAAAAAAATTTTTTTTCAAAAACGCCAGCAACTCTAATAAAAACGTATAGGATATAATATATAAACATTACAATATATATTTTATTATTTTACAATATACTAAAATCATTGCTCAAAAAAGTTTTTATCAAACCATATTTCAAATGTTATAATCCCTTATTAAACGAACATAATATTAATTTTTCTCACAAAAATACTCGATTTTTATATATATATATATTTTTTATTATTCTTATTATTTAAAACGACACTAATGAACACTTATATTAAATGTTCTAATAAATACAAAAAAGAAACCCTACCTTTCTTATCACCATTTTGCGCCGCAGGCGAAAATTTTAAAATTATCAATAAACGTGGGGGAATTTTTTAGCAGTTGGCTTCAGTTTTGGCTTTAAAATTACAAAATCAGAGGTCTCACAAAATTCAAAAAAAAATCACGAAACACCAAAAATAATACGAAACATAAGAAACAAATAATCGAAACGTTTCGTGTATGTATTGTTGGTACCTCTGTAATGACTCAGTCAAAATCCAAATTTTTTGGGGGTTTAAAAAATACGATCTGGCATTTTCGTACTTCAGGCGCATTCAACTGTCAAAAAACGCCAGAACGCATTGCAAAAGAAAACAAAACGCTAAAAACTAAAGAAACGCAAAACTGCTTTTCTATCAATTATTTAAAACTGCTTTTATCTATATTCAAATAAAGGTAATAAATTTGCTTATATATGGCTTTCTACTGCCCAATAAACGAATTTTTTTTACATTAAATTTTTCTTTTACTCAATGATTGTGTTAAAATCTATTGCTCTACAACAAATTTATTTTTAATTTTATTTGTTGGAGTTTTCAAATATTGCTCTAAAATCCATTGCTCTACTCAAAAAAAAAATTTTTTTTTTGTTTATTCGTGTTATCTTCCCCTAAATAATTCACTGTCAAACAATTTTGATTTTTTTATTATTTTCGTAACTCTCTTCAAAATTTTCGCGTTCATTATAAAATTCCTCTTTTACAATATTTCCCAAATCTTCTTTAAAGAATTTTGAATGTATGAACCAAAATTTTTTTTACATCCAATCCAAAAGGGGTCAAAGGTTCAAAAAAGAAAGTTAAAGCAAAGAGCAGGGGAAAGGGAAAAGAGCGGAAGTAAAGATAAACAATCACAATCTCAAAAAAAAGTGAAAAGTTTGTTGGGAAAACAACAGTGTAAAGTAAAAAGAAATTAATGGGAAAAAGGATAAGCATTTAAACATTTATCTAAACATTATGTTTGAGAAAAATTCAGTGTAAAGTGAAGATAAATTAATGGGAAAATGGTTAAAGGAAAGGATAAGCATCTAAACATTTATGTAAACATCCGTGAGGGATGAATAAGCATTCACAGTTATTTAAACATTTAAATGAAGAAGCATTTCAACATTTGTTTAACATTCATGTAAGCTGTAAGCAGGAGTCTTCAGTAGACCGGACTGATGTGTTAGCCATTACACCACGCCGCCTACTGCTCAGCCTTAGGAATTAAATAGCTATATGCTTTACACCTCCATCCCCAGGGAAGACTGTCCCTAGTCTTCTTATCTGCCCTCTTCCCGCTTTTTCTCTCACCTGCGGGGTAGCTTAATCATCGCCTTCTCTGGCGGAATTTCCTTCTCTCTAACCCAGGGCCTATGGGATGGATCGTCATACGTTCAGCGTTCGCTGAACCATCCGGTGCTACCAGTAACCATCCGGTGCTACCAGTAAAGCTAGTGCTGGGCCAGGATGGTGTTGGGATGTTGGCTACCAGTAAAGCTTGTGCTGGGCCAGGATGGTGTTGGGATGTTGGGCGGGTTGCGTGCGATGTTGAGGGTCCCGAGAGGCGATGCCGATGAGTATATTGCGGAGCGGAGGGTAGGCCTTTCTATGCGCTTGTATAATGCTGGTCGGTTACGAGACCGACTTGCCCGGGAATAATATGCGCTGATTAATAAGCTCTTAGGCTTCTTCTGCAGGATTAATGAATAAGCTCTCAGCTTCTTCGGCCGGTTTATTCACTTCTCTATTGATTACTTTCCAACTGACTGGTGAACAGTCGACTGATCCCCTTTTCACTATTTTCCACTTAGTTTTATCCTAAGGCCTTATCTGTCAATCTCCTCCCCTTATTAAATCCTTTCCCAAAGGAACTAAAGTTCCTTTTCTCCATCCTTGCCCATCCGGATCAAAGTACGCCTTACATGATTTTTCTAAATTCGGGGAATAAGGATTTTCTAAATCCTTATATGAAGGGGAATAAGGATATAGAATTAAGGAAAATCAAATATATTGAAATAGGGATTTACTAAAATGGGATATATTAGGGGAATAAGGATATAGAATTAAGGAAAATCAAATATATTGAAATAGGGATTTACTAAAATGGGATATATTAGGGGAATAAGGATATAGAATTAAGGAAAATCAAATATATTGAAATAGGGATTTACTAAAATGGGATATATTAGGGGAATAAGGATATAGAATTAAGGAAAATCAAATATATTGAAATAGGGATTTACTAAAATGGGATATATTAGGGGAATAAGGATATAGAATTAAGGAAAATCAAATATATTGAAATAAGGATTTACTAAAATGGGATATATTAGGGGAATAAGGATATAGAATTAAGGAAAATCAAATATATTGAAATAAGGATTTACTAAAATGGGATTTTTATTTAAATTTATTTAGATTTATTTAGATTTTATTTAGATTTTTATCGTTTTTCTTTGCTTTGATCCTCGATAGATCTCTTCTATAAGCTTAGATTTTTTCCGTTTTACTTTGCTTTGATCCTCGATAGATCTCTTCTATAAGCTTAGATTTTTTCCGTTTTTCTTTGCTTTAATTCTCGATAGATCTCTTCTATAAGCTTAGATTTTTTCCGTTTTTCTTTGCTTTGATCCTCGATAGATCTCTTCTATAGGCTTAGATTTTTTCCGTTTTTCTTTGCTTTGATCCTCGATAGATCTCTTCTATAAGCTTAGATTTTTTCCGTTTTTCTTTGCTTTGATCCTCGATAGATCTCTTCTATAAGCTTAGATTTTTTCCGTTTTTCTTTGCTTTGATCCTCTATAGATCTCTTCTATAAGCTTAGATTTTTTCCGTTTTTCTTTGCTTTGATTCTCGATAGATCTCTTTTATAAGCTTCGTCAGAAAACACATTTATTATGTCTTCGAAAGAATTATTCGTCACATAGACATAATAATATTTCGTCAGAAGACACATTTATTAAGTCTTCGAAAGAATTATTCGTCACATAGACATAATAATATTTCGTCAGAAGACACATTTATTAAGTCTTCGAACGAATTATTTGTCACATAGACATAATAATATTTCGTTAGATGATTTCGTCAAAATTTAAAGAATCACAATGTATAATTCATTAAAAACCCAAGTACAACCCAGGATAAAAATATCTAATATAATTATACATATTCAGAAATTATTTTCAATTAAATCATTCCAATATTTTCCATTTTAGTAAATCCTCATTTCGCTATATCTGATTGTTTTAAATTCGAAATATTGAGATTACTAATATAAATTCGAAATATTTATCTAAATTCGAAATATTTATCATTCCAATATTTTCCATTTTAGTAAATCCTCATTTCGCTATATCTGATTGTTTTAAATTCGAAATATTGAGATTACTAATATAAATTCGAAATATTTATCATTCTAATATTTCCATTTTAGTATTGGGCAATCAGCCAAACATTGATCGCTGGTAAGCGTAAATTTTCACCTAGAGTGAATAATGTAAAAATTGGTTTAGATAAAGTCAATATTGTCCTTATTGTGTATTGTTGGACATTGAGGACAATGATGTGCTGCAAAAATAAAATTGATTGTACAAAATTCAATGAACATCATTAATGATACGGCTGCGCAAATTTCAATTACTTTAAAGGAAACTTGGTCACAGATTGGTGAACCAAAATTTGAAGAAGTTTCGTATAATTGAATTGCTATGGACCAATCAAAACAAAATTTAGATTTTTATTATTCACACACAATTGACATTATCTGTTTATTTAATAATAAAAATCTATATTATAAATTAAAAATTATATTGCAAAATTTTTTTTTCATAAAAATTTTTATTATTTCGAAAAAAATTGTTATT